GTAGAAGGTCAAGATGTGGCGAAAGGTCGATTATGTCATGTACTTTACATAACAAGACGGTGACGGTTCATTGGCCTTCCTGATGCCATTCCTATGTCATACAGAAAGGGAGGAGAGGATGTTTAGATGTTATTCTGTATGTTATCACTGGTCTATCTGCAGCTGTCTACAGTAGCCTATATGACCCTGGGGAAGACTGGCAGCCGGCTGAATGTGTCTGACAAAGACGCCAGCAGGGTCGATTTAGCAATGCAAATGACACAGACGCATGATGGATGAAATAGTGTGCCTCAGGGAATGTAGGGTTAATGTATACAATTCTGAGTAGTTCATTCAGTTCAGTTAAAGGCCCCATGGCTCAACTTTTAGGCCTTTAGGGTGGGGCCTATGAACTGTATGACCACACAGGGCTTTTTTTTTTTGTTTTGTGTAACTAAAAGAATGCATTTGTAAGTTGATTCATTCTCTTGTGAAGAGTATGATGAGATCATCAGTATCACTCATCAGCTACACATTGCCTTGTGTAAGTACAGCACATGTAGCTGCTGGTCAGCAGGTTAGTTATTCCAGCCTGAAGACTGGAAACTGGGTGAAACAGCAACTAGAACAGTTGCTTTAGCAAAATCCTATTACCAGCACACTGAACCCTGTCAGGTATCACAGATACGCACATACAGATACATCTTGTTTAATCTGTACAAAAACAACACTGTTTGAACGCTAAACATAATTATCAAAACTGTAGGGTCTTAACCATCCATCTATCCATTTTCTATACATGCTTTATCCTGTGTAGGGTCACAGGGGGGCTGGAGCCTATCCCAGCTGACTCAGGTGGAAGCCGGGGACACCTTGGACAGGTAATAAGTCTATCACAGGACTACACAGAGAGACAAACAACTGAGCACACTCACATCCAGGGCCTTAACTTTAACATTTCATTTAGTACAGTAAGTTAGTATTATTAGTATTACTTTAATATTTAAAGTTGTAGGTAAATTTGTCAATCTAATTTCTCTACTGGAAATCACTTTGGCTCAACAACTGTTTAAAATGTGCTTTCTAAATACCATGACCTGACTGAGCTTATTAATACGACTTGACTTGACTACTGAATAATGACGCCACTTCTGGGTATTTTGCTTTTGCCTTGTTTTTTTAAAGCCCTTTGCAAACCCTTGTTTTTAAAAGTGATGTATAAATAAAGTTATTAATATTGTTACTGTTATTGCAGTCATTGTTGTTGTTACGTGCCAAATAGTTTGTTAAACATAAGTTACTCTTCTCAGAAACATGGCAACATGTGCCTGCCCATCAAACAGCAAAATTGTTTTTTTTTACACTTCCTGCTTTGTGCAAATTAAACAAGACAGATCTAACTGGTAACTGGTGAGTTTCTGTGTTTTCAGTCCTTCGCCAAGCTACGATAAGTAGCTGCCATCTACAACTTCATATTCATCGCTTTCAACCAGAACCTGAACAACTGTATTTCCCAAAATGTGCAACTAGTCCTTTAAACTAAGGGGACGATACAGACTCTATGTACAGAAACTTAAGTGGGCCACAAATAGAACCTGCAGGTTCAGGAGAAAAAAACTAATCAAACTTGATGGTACTTAAGCTCACAGCTGTGCATATATACAAGCAACAACTTTCAACAGGTTAGTGAACAGAATGTTTTAAAAGTTGTAGGGACTCCTCTGGCAGACACAAGACCAAAGATTTTAGTGGATTTCAGAACCTTTAGGCCGATTCCACGCATTGCAGCTGTTAAAAAAAAACTTTGAGAGGAGCTTCATCGGATAAATGTGGGCATTGCTCGGGGCGGCGGAAGTCAGCAGACTTAAGAAGACTTGGCTGACTGATTGTTAGAAACTTTAAAAAGATTACAGGACCTTCTGAGGAGTTATTGGCTATCTTGTGTACTGTAAGTGTGTGTGTCCATGTTGATGAGAGGAGGGTATCAAAGTGGTCTTGCATCCTGTGGGCAGCCCAGGGCAGGACCAGTGGGCACAAGGCGGCAGCGAAGTGGGTGTCCTGGAGCCCATCGTCTGCCTTCACAGACACACACACACACACACACACACACACACACACACGCCCCACCCCCCCAGGCACAAAAGGCCACCATGTAATTGAAGTAGTGTCAGAACTCAGGGGAGACGAACGCACAAACACACACACAAACACACACAGAGGAGCTGTTCTACTAACCAACTTCACCTAGAAGTCAGTGCTACACACACAATATTCTGAACATTTTAAAACCAATATTGAGGACAAAAACAACAAGTCAAGTATTTTTATTCAAGAGGAGGTTGAACAACTGGTTTAGTTATTTAGTCAAATTAATAATAACTGAATTTGATCTTTTTAAGGATTTAAGACTGTTTTTCGTGATGTTCTTCATTTGCATTTAGTGCCACAAGAGGAAAACGAGTCTCAAAGCATCATTAAGATGGTGTGACATACACATAGAATGACAAGTGAACTTTGGTATTAATTCATTTGTGATTTTTGTATTAATTATACCTTACATTTAAGTTAAAGTTCCAGTTAGCGTTTAGTGTTCGACTCATGTTGTTGTTTTATGCCAACAGGAAAACAAAGTGACCCTGAATCCCAAAGAATAGTTTTAAAAAAAATGCACTGTGTTACACTTGTGATTGTACAATATTACTTTTTTTTTTTGTCACCATTATTTAAATCTACTCGGAGTTAGAGAAACTGTTGTGTGGTGGAAGTGCTGTAGGTTCAGGCACGCATGTAGAAACAACAGTAAACGGCCCGCAAACTGAACAAGACGGATGTTAAAGTAACTGCTGTATGAAATAAAATGATCAACAGATTATCCCATTGATTTGAATATACAGAAAAACAGACATAAAGCTAAGGTAAGGGTAAATTTGATATAAGAGCCATATAAATAATTAGTCTTGTTTGAATCTTTTTTACAACACATATAACTAAAACGTAGTAACATGTGTGACATGATGTTATGTATACATTTACATATGCTGCATAAAGATATTTGCAATGTAATATCACCTGCATTTTGTTCATTATTTTGCCATCAGACTTTTGAATATAACAGCTTTTAACTGAAAGGCAAAGCTTAAGAATAAAATATTTGTAACAGCATCAGCCCTTAAAGCCTAGCTGTTATTTGGAATGTACTTTTGAAAAAACAAAAAACAAAAACCCCAAACATTGTTTTTCAGGAGGCATTTCTGCCTTTATTACCTAGTAGAGTGAAGTGTGGGGAAAGAAGGCGTCCAAACGGCCATGAGTCAAATCAGGGGCTGAGTATGCAGCGCCCTTATCTGTGCGCTCTTTAAATTTGTCAGCTGTTAAAAATTATGGAGCTGTTAAACATTTGTGGGAACTGGAGTGGGATTATTTATCTATCTATCAACATTTTTATACTAGCATTCAGTAGCTGTACTCAAGACTGCAAGGCTCCTTTTTGCAAAATATTCCATGTAGGTACAAGTTCAGTAATAAATCATGTTTGTTGAAACTTTTGAACTGCTGACAAATTTCTCTTACACTTCAGGCTATAAGAAGGAAATGTGTTGTGATTCAAAGATGTAGTCACACACAAATAAGATTTCTCGTGACTTTAAATACAGACTTTTCTTAAACAGGGCAGATTTAAATATGCCAGTGAAACAGAACTGTCTTGCTTCAAACAGCATGTTTCAACTGGCGCATTTTCTGGTCACGGACACCTTACAAGTAAATGTTTTTTCATTCTGCTTTTGTGTTTGTGTCTATGAATGTTCCAGTCTGTACCTGCCAGGCTGTCTTTGTGCTTTGGGTGGAGATGATTATTAAGAGTCTGCACACTGCAAAGATGCTTGGCCGCCACCTACTGGTCGAATCAAATATAAGTCAAATAAGTAAGAGATATGTAGCAACATTTGTTTGCATTGCTTCCTGTGTTGTGTAGTATACAATTAGATGTATCAATCCATCCATCCATTATCTATACACCGCTTAATCCTCACTAGGGTCGCGGGGGGGCTGGAGTCTATCCCAGCTGACTTAGGGCAAAGGCAGGGGACACCCTGGACAGGTCGTGTATCAATCCAATATAACTCTAATTTCTGTGTGTGTTTGTGTGATTCCAGCCATGAGAGACACCACTGTTGTCATCGGCAGCGTGCATGGAGACGCATGTCTGGATGTGTTTGCCTTCAGTCTCCAGGCAATGTTTTTCTTTAAATACTTTAACATGGTATGCAGCTGCTCCATGTCTGTATCGCATCTGAAGACAGAGGTGGAAAACGACAAGGCCCGTCAGCTGCTTTAAACTTTTACTCTGTAGCAGTCAGTAACGCTTGTTTCAGAAACCTGCTTTGATTACTTTAATCATCAACTTTAAGGTCAAAACCTTTTACACACAAAGCAAAGAGTACAGATGACTGAAATTTTGCTGTGTCAAGTTTTTTGGGCTCTGATTTCTTTCCATAAACATCTTTGACTTTTCATGTACCTGCCATTCCTTTACATCCGCTCGTTGTCATTTCGTGCCAGGGACGTGGGATGCATATCGACTTGTCTGAGCTTGTTCTGCTTGTCTGATGTGTGTAGACATGACCATTCAGTATGTGCAGGCTGGAAAATGAGGCTGAAGGAGCTGCAGTAACAGAAAATTCTATTTTTCTTGGCTATGCAGATAGTTTGAGGTTTTTGTTGCCCAACTTTTTTTGAATTATGGAAGTTAACAAAATTTTATTTGTGGGCATTTTTCTAAAAAAAATAAATAAATAAATAAATAAATCAAACTCGGAACAATGTCCCAGTTACTTTGGGCCTCATTCATACCTCACGTAGCCTGTAACAGGATGCCTGACTTTCAGAAAAAGCCTCGCTAGTCCACAGCAATGTGATAAATGAAGCTGCTGTCGGGGCTTCTTCCTTAACTTTATTTCCTGGATCTTCTGAGCAAACAAAACAAAGAGAACACCAACAGGAACAAAATAAAAAACTATTCCTTATACTCCTACTTCAGTATATATTTTAATTAGGGTCAAAGCAAGCGTGCCATCAGTAATACAAATTGTGATAAATGCAGCAACAAATCAGTACTCAAAAGTGAAAGCATCATAATAATCCAGTGGAAAAAAATCCTTCTTGAACAGCTGAACATGTACAATTAAAACCATTTGTAATTGGATAAAAAAGTTTTGCACATTATATTGGATAAGAATAATGAGTCAAAGCAGTCAACAAGAAAAAATACTGTAGTCCAAATGCTCATCAAACTGTTCTACGACACATCAGGGCATTTTTTTTGGCAAATTTTCCCTTGATTTGTGAGGTAGTAATTTACCCCACAATTACACAAATGGGTAATAACCTGTAGTTTATGATTTTTTAAAAAAGTATCAGTCATCAGTATATTCAATATTTAAGCTTCTACTATAAACAGTTGCATGCATAGGTTTAGGCATTACAGGTAGTATCACATATGTCGTTGGTTTTTGAAGTGACAAGAAGAACACACAGTCCCTCCAGCAAACAGAGACATCCTGTACAACAAAAACAGTAACTGAAGCATTTATAAAGTTCAGGCTTAACTTGTAAAGTGTCATGTTGAACTGTAACTGACACATCCGGAGTCGTAAGGCTGGCCAGCAATTGTTACCGTTAGCTGATTTTAACTATTTTAACTTTTTGGCAACAATAACAATCTGAAACAAAGCTAACTGATGCAGGAGAAGGCTACAGAAAGACAACAACCTGCTGTAACCTCATAGCAAAAAGTCTGAAGCATGCAAATATCCTCAAATTCTAGGCGCTAATGTCATGTTGTCGCTCAATGAAGGAGGCCGGCTTCTACAACAGAAAAATTACCTCAAAAATCCAACATAAAACACTGAGGTGAGGAAGAGTTAGTCAACAAAGCAAGTTATGATGTCTAATAAAGGTCATTAAATAGTGACCCAGTATACGAAACAATGACTTTTAGCTGAACTTTGAGCAGAGTTGTAGGTGAGCTGGTGTGCTCGAGTTGCAGCGAGTGACTGGGGGTGGGTGGAGACAGGTGGGGACTTCATAAATTACTTATCAGTAAAAACACACTTATTTTTAAAGATGATATTTAGGATGCCTTTAAAAGATTTCTACAGAAACTTGTACAAAATCATGTTTCAATCATGTCACGTGGCAGAAAAACAACTAAATTAGTGCTGCAGCAGAAAGGTGCAATAAGTTGTGAGTGATGGAAATGGTCGCCGTTACAGCAGCATTTCTTTGTTGGCGATTAGCAGATATTGTATAAATGTGTTTAATGTAAAGGCTGAGCTTTTGTTGATGCAGTATTTACACCCTGGACACACAAAATATCCACCCTGCATTTTTAAAGATGCTGTTTGTTTAGATTTGGATATTTCATATTTACATGCTGAAGGTTTTGTATGTGCATGTCGGTCCTGAGAACGTTAACAGGGTCTGCAGCTCTCCTGAGTCCTGGTGACACATTAACAAGGCCAACAAAATGCTCTTTGCCTACAATCAAAGTAATTATGAGAATGTGGCCCACTAATGACTGTATACATGAATCATATCAGATAAGACTTTACTTCCACAGCTCTGTCTCTGTGTGTCTTTGCTCTTCATCAGTCCATGCTCCATGGCAGAGAGAAGCTTTCACCCTCCAGCTCTTTGCGAATAACCGATGTGAATCGGGCCAGTTGCTCTGAGCTGAAATGGTTTTTCCAGTCTCCAGTGATGCCTGACACAAAAACACACAACAAGATAACATAACAAAAGCACAACAACACTCTGAAGTGACCAAAGATCTGAAAATCCAGACATTTTTTATAACAA